GAGTGGATGATGTGCAGTGGGTGTGTGCCTGCAGCTGAACGAGGAGAGAACCAGCTCATCCTAGACCCTCACAGGCACAATACAATTGGGGCTTATGGGTACTCCACTAGGGCATTGTCTGTTTTATAGTGAGGCTTTATGTTCCCTCCCCCCTAAGCCTGTCCAGAGGGTTAGTGGGGTTACGAGGGTCCCTCACCAGATAAGACCTCCTTCTCTACAGCCTCCATTCGATCTGACCCCACTCCAGGGGTCCCTCCATTTTCTCTGAGCTGCTCTTCCTGCTTATCAGTATTGTTGGCACGAGGTCGTCGCAAAGCAGGTGAACAAGGCAGAGAGCCCAGGCAAGAGGTAGAGATGGCAGATTGAGAATGCTGTCCTGGCTCATCTTCCTCCAGGTCAGTGAATTGGTACACCTCTTCCAGGTCCAGCTCCAGTGGTCGAAAGCCCTTGGTCACGACGCCCGGCCGTGTATCCAGGATGCCACCCAGGTGTGGCTGAGCGAGCTGCTGCCATGCGTGCAGAGTGGCCGAACCTGATGGGTAGAGGAAACGAGAGCGGAGATCAGATACAAACTGTAGCAAATGCCACAGAACACCGAGAACACTCTGAGATCATGAACGCAAGGTGACATGCATCAAGTGTGACATAAAAGTTTTCAGATTAGCATTTAATGCTTTCCGAAAGAAATGAGGAAAGAATGAACGCATCATGACATGATCTAAATATTGGGTTTCTGTTCAGTAATGTAAATGCTGCTAAAATGGCTAGTCCAGAAAAACTTTAGCACTTTAGCAACTCTGTAATATTGAGATAAAAGACATAGTTTTTAGATATAGACATAGAACTGATATGTGAGTCTTTGTAATGTAAGGTATGCCTGCATTCCATTACATTTTAGGGATAAAATTATAATCTAACAAATTACTTAATATGTGTTTTTATTATTCTATTCTATTCTATGTCCAGATGTTCAGCAAATACATATTTAACTGATAACATGATCATAAATACATATTCAACTATTTAATATTAATAATTGTGTAATTTTAATTAGGGGTGTTATTTCAGATTATAGTATGTACTGTAGTCTTGGATTTAATTAACTTTGCATGTAGTCCACTTTATTTTAAATACAATCTGTGCCCTTGAAAAGTTCATGATACATAACCAAAGCTGTGATACTCATTGACTCTTGCTGTGGACAGACTAAAACAAAGAAAGAGAAAAGGAGGAGGGAGAAATTAACATTGTGTTTATTAGAGAGCTAAAAACAGACAGGTAAGAAAATGAAAAGATAAGAAAACAAAAGAAGGATGCAAACACACAAACTTAAAATTGACAGAAACGAAGGGAGTAAACAGATATAGCAATGTATAGTTCACCCAAAAAATTAAAATTCATATTGTTCCAAACCTGTATGAGTTTTCTGTGGAATTATAAAAGAAGATATTTTGAAAGAAATGGCTCCGTTTTTTTTCCATCAATGGTAAGCAAAATGAATTGGTTACCAACATTCTTTAAAATGAACTCTTTTGTGTTCAGCAGAAGAAAGAAAGTCATACAGGTTTGGAATGTCATAAAGGTGAGTGAATGATAGAATTAATTTTTTTGAGCCAACTATTCCTCAAAAGCCCTTTCTCTGGAGTTAATCTATTAGATTTCCTGTCAGTACCTTTTAAAACATACTCAAAGGTGCTAACGAAATCAGAGCATTGATCATTTGTTAACATGCGTTTGAGTTTTCTGCAATTCCTAATAAGCTTTACTAATGGGCAGGCTATGTCACACTGCCTAGTTTATCTTTCAGCTATAACCAGCAGAGGTCGCTAGAGATAGGGTTATGAATCATAAGGCTGTGAGTGGTTTACAGTTAACACTTATCTAAAACTGAAGAACATGACAAACTGTTGCAGCCCTATTATTCAAAGCTAAATTAATTCAGCGACCCTGTTGTTGACGTGAAGATAATAAACTCAACATAAAACAGTAAGTGAGAGATAAGCTTTGAAGAAGCATGTTTCTAACTTTTTGTAAATGAAAAACACCATTTTAAAATACGCCTTAGTACTACTACCTCTATGAAAAAGAAAAAAAACAACAACACAAATATAAAGTGCATCATGGATAGAGTTGTGCTCCTCACATTAAATCCTAATTTTCAAATGCAGTTCTATGTGCATGTGTGTGTGTATATATAAAAACAGGAATAATTACAGTTTTTATGTTTTTGAAAAGTCTCATGCTCAGCAAGACTGCATTTAAATGATCAGTTATATGAACAGCAAATAAACAGTAAAAACATTTGTGGTATGTGTGCCATATTGTGAAATTTGATTATAATTTAGAAGTGTTTTTGATTACAATAAAAATCTTTTGTAACATTATGAATGCATTTATAAATTCAAAAGCATTTTTATAAATTGAAAGCATTATTGCTTAATAGAAGTATTTTTTTCTTCTTCTTTTTTAAATTTTACTTGGTCCAAACATTTCAATGGCAGTGCAGTGCAATGGTTTCCACAAAAATATTAAGTAGCAAAAAATATTTTCAACATTGATAATAATAACAGATGTTTTACGCACCAAATCAGCATATAATAATAATTTCTGAAAGATCACGTGACACTGACGTTTTGAGTAATGGCTGCTGAAAATCAAACGAATAAATTATATGTTAAAATATATTAAAATAGAAAATAGTTATTTTGAATTAATAATATTTCATAATACTACTGTTTTTAATTGCATTTCTTATAAACACAGCCTTGGTGAGCATAAGAGACTTTTAAAAACATTTCAAAAAAATCTTCTACATTCCAAACTTTTGACCAGTAGTGTGTATATAGTGTGACGTGTCTAAATCTCAAACCAGCAGCGAGGTTGTGTGTGTCTGAAATAGAAGGAGTGTTGTGTAGACAGGTCTTCAGCACTGTGGTGCATTAATGCCCACAGAGCATCAAACAATAAGAGGGTGAAAGGCCTGGACTTGGCTTGGTCACCTTCCAGAGGCTTGACGATCTGGAGTTTCTCCGGCAGGTAGGATCGGATGCTGTAGATGGAGTAAACCGAGTGCAGGGTGCCCAGAGACATGATGCTGTCTGCCGGAGTGAGGGGGCCGCCGTCTTCACTGCCACTCCCACCATCTCTCTCTTCGTATAATTCGCTCTTCTCTTCTGCCAGGGCGTTGAGTTTACGCTCTCTCTCCTCCTCAAAGAAACGCCGCTCGCTAATGTAGTTGTCCCGTCGAAGGGAAAGACGACGCAGTGCCGCCTCCAGGTCACGAGAGCCGGGTGTGCCAGGCGTGCCAGGCTTTCTGTTGGAGTCATCAGAGCTGGAACAAATATTACAGACAAAGATTCAAACAATACAGTGTGGTCTAATGTCCACTACTGAAGAACTTACACACACACACACACACACACACACACCTAAATGTAACAATTTCTATTGTTTTAATATAAAATAGGACCAACAAATCAATATAATTCTTGCCAGTGCAAATATGTAAGCTGATAATTATTTTCATGTTACAATATAACTGTAATATATGATAAAAGGCTAAGGCTAAGTGTGACGAGCGTCCCGAAGCTTCATGAGCATCGCCCCGGAAACAAGCGAGGAGCACCTGGCCATCATCATCACAGGCTGATCGGTCACAGCTGCACCTCATCAGGCGGCGGCTACATAAACCACGCAAGCCCTGCCATCTAGGAGATTCCTCCATGAGACTGAGCACTAACACGCCCTCTCATTTTCCCCACAGAAAGCAGCGACCACAGGAGCACTGCACGGACCCTCTGCACTGGGAAGAAGGAAGAGAGCACTCACGGCACCGGAGCACCTACCTGGACCTTTCTCATGAGCACCCCTCACCCCAATAAATCCACCCTCCGGGGTATTGATTGAGATTTCTTGTTGTGTGATTCTTCACCCCGTTACAATATATATATACATACATACACACAAAATTTTAAATAATGATTTTCTGCTGTAATACATTTTATAAATAATTTATCCCTGTGATGGAAATCTTCAGTGACGCATTATTATTCAGAAATCAATCTAATCTACTGATTTGGTGCTCAGTTATTATCATTTATTAAAAATGTGTAACTAATTGTAACCATGTAATTTTTCCAAATGATGTCCCTGGAGGTCCTCAAATAGAAAACAAATGTCCCCAAACTATAGTTAAGAAAACACACAACACATTTCTATCATACTGCTGAAACATTTATGGTTTAAAACCACGTTTGATGCTCTTACCCGTCCTGATGTGACTGGGTTTCCATCAGCATACTGTTAGTGCGGTTGTCCATTTCAACACCGTCCCCTCCGTACATGCTCGAACGGGGTGTGCTCAGACAACTAGAACGCCTGGAATTCATACAGGATGTCTGATTGGACCCTGGGATGTTCATGGGGGACGGGCCCATGGAGCACAGCCGAACAGTCTGGTTGATGTTACGCACTGTCTCAAAGACACGTTTAGGGTGCAACCTGAACAAAAAGAGAAGACAAGAATGTACAGAGGTTCATGCGAAACGTTCTGAGGTTTTTTTCTCTCTCTCCTTACTCTCCTTAAACAGTTCAAATGGATTACAATGCCATCCTTAGATGATTTGGACCTACAACCATTCGATTATCCGCTAATATAATAGGAAAACATTTTAAACATACAGTGCCTTGTAACAGAGATTAGAATATATGTTATATTGCTCTGAAACTGACTCTGAATGCAAATTCTTAACTCATGCTGGATATGGGACATAGGCAGAACACAGGAAATGAAACACTAATACACCTTTGTTCCTCTACGTCTGGATCAGACATCTGAATCTCTTTTCTCATGGAGCCTTCAATTTCAGCAGCTAAAGAGTCCTGTTACACACAAAGCACAAACACACCATTAGCCAGGGGAATAACAGTGATATCATATGTATACTAGTGTATATATAGCATACCAGTGTACTGCTTACTGTAGCACACACTAAATAACAATAAATGCTTTAAAACAGTAATATGCTACAGCTGATATCACATGACCTTATCAGAATATTTAATTCAGAAATGTCCTCATAACTCTCTCTCTATATATAGATAGATTGATAGATAGATATTAATTTAATGATAAATAATTCACAAATTAATAATACATTTAGGGCTGTCACTAACGATTATTTTGGTAATTGAGTAATTGGCTCCACAGCTCTGGCCAGGGATGTCAAATCCTGCACTTCGCTTGCGAGAGAAGGTCAGTCCTCAGTTGTATCGACCAAGGGGCTGCCGATAGCAGCTGAATCAACTCAGGGAACTATATCTGATTCCTCCAGAGTGGGGCCACCAAGAGGACTGAATATCTGACTTCCCTGACTCGTCTGATGACCTGAGGAAGCAGGGCAACTGGGGGCATACAGGCAAGCGCTGGGCCAATCGTGGGGCAGGGCATCTCGCTGTATCGAAAAGTAAATTGGGCAGTGAAAGTTGTCTTCTAAGGCGAAGAGGTCCACCTCTGCCTTGCCGAAGACAGACCAGATCATTTGAACCATTTGGGGATGTAGTCTTCATTCTCCTGGAGCCACATTGTCCCTGGACAACATGTTTGCCCCTTGGTTCAATCTGCCTGGCACATGAACTGCTCTCAGCTTTGTGCCCATAAAAGGAGGCGTCGAGCCATCCTGTGAAGGGAACGTGACCTGAGACCGCCATGGCGAGTGATAAAGGCTACCACCGTCATGTTGTCCGAATGGACCAGGACATGGTGTAAGCGTTGCTCCTGGTTTTACCAGGAGCCAAATACCAGTCTGCCCTCGTACAGGGCTCCCCAACCTGAGTTGGAGGCATATGTCATAACCACCTTCCTTCTGGAGGTCAGTCTCAACTGACGTAATCCATACCCGCAACCGGGCAGAATCAATAACTGCCCCCAGAAAGACTACTTGCTGGCTGAGAGACAAAAAGCTCTTGGCTAAATTAATTCTCAACCCAAGCCGTTCCAGGTGGCTGAGCAGCAGCGGCCTGCGAGTGATGAGTTCCCATTCTGATCTGGCTAAAACCAGCCAATCGTCGAGGTAGTTCAGAATGTGGATTCCCATCTGTCTCAGAGGGGAAAGAGCCACGTCGATGCACATCGTAAAAGTGTGTAGGGCCAGAGACAGTCCGAATGGCAGGACTGTATATCGATAGGCCACTCCCTCGAATGCGAATCTCAAGAATGGTCTGAGATGGGGGCTATCTGGATATGAAAGTAAGCATCTTTCAGATCCACTGATAGAAACCAGTCCTCAGGGCATACTTGCGCGAGGATCTGTTTCAAAGTCAGCATCTTGAATGGCTGATGGCTCATGAGCGAGTGGTTCAGATACCTGAAATCAAGAATGGGTCTGAGCCTGCCATCTTTCTTGGGAATGAGGTAGTAACAGCTGTAAAAGCCAGACTCGCTGTTCACTAGAGGAACCGTTTCCATGGCTCCTTTTGCAAGCAGTGTTTGTACTTTGGACCGGAGAACGTGAGCATCGTTGTCCCGTACCGTAGTTTGAATATATCTGAAGCGAGGTGGCCTGTGAGCGAACTGAAGCAAGTAGCCTCGTTCTATGGTTTTTAGAACCCAAATTGACACATCCAGGATAACTTTCCAAGCCTGAAACCGGATGGCAAGTGGTCTGAGTTTCTCGAATGGTATATCGCCGCACGGAGGCAGGGAACTGACATTCGTGGTAATGAGGAGAAGAGAAATGCTCTTTTGAGTATGTGGATCTCCTATCACAGTGGGAGTTTGCTTGAGTGCGCACTGAATGGGAAGGACGGACGCAGCTTGAATGGAGCTTCCATCGCTCAGTGATAAGTGGAGGGATGGAGAGTAAGTGCGAGACTTCTTCGAGGGAGTTCCGGCCTCGGTGAGAACCGACCCTGTCCCTGATCTCCTTAGATTTAGCTAGCACCACCAAGTTGGCCATGTCCTTGCCGATCACCTGCACAGTGGCCTTATTAGTGAGTAGAGCAAAGTCAGTCACTTTGCGCAGCTCTCTGAAGGCATCAGAACTCTGGCTGGACTCGTCCATGGTGTGGAGAAGTTTAGCCTGGAACACTTGGAGCACCACCATCGTGTGAAGCGCTGAGTCAGCCTGCTACTGAATAAGCCCTGTTCACTAGGGCTGAGATAGTCCTGCAGGGCGTAGATGGGTGCGCTGAATGGGCTTTCAACCCCAGGGCCGATGGAGGGCACAGATGCACAGCGACCGCCTCTTCCAGAGGACTGAGCTTGCTATAACCTTGTTCTTCAGAGCCATCAACAGTGGTGAGAGTGGCCACAAGTAAAGGGATTAACATGCGCGGAGTAGGGGGCAGGCCTGGTGAGTTCCTCATTAACTGTCAGCAGAAACAGGGCAGCCATTGGCGGGAGGATTGTTGACGGCGTCCCTTCAGGTACCACTCATCATGAGGGCAGTGGGCAGGCTCTTCTGGAGCCAACCAAGCCAGGCCGAGATCCTCCACAGCCTTGGTTAGGAAGCGGATCATCTTGCTGCCCATGCTGGGCCATGTTGTTTGAGTCGGTGTAGCACTCTTCTGCATCTGAAGCCGTCAATGACACAGAGTCATCCATGGCAGCTTCCTCCTCAGACCCGCCGAAGGAAATCGAGCCGTTCGCAGCCGAGCGACTGATGACTCAATAAGTGCAGTTCACCTTTATTCCTCAAGGTGGCACTGTTTGATACACAATGGTTATGTGATGTTTCACTCATAATTATTACTTATTGTGGTGAATAAGCTACCAGTGATCAAAATATTGATTTTGAAATAATTGAAAATGATAGTTTAGAGAATATGGTTAAGATCACAAATATGAGCCAGATGCTGAATGTACTGGGAAAATGCACTCTGACGATGACAGTGATGTAAAATGTAACAAAATATGCTTTATTTTATTCTTTTGTAATTGTTAGCAAATATCGAGAGTTTTATGCTTTTGCAGCAGTTAGAGAACCATCTGTGTTAGATATACAGATCCAGGTTGCTAAAGACCTGAATATGTAATAATGATTGGCGAAACATCCATGCATTTAAGGGTTAATATTGACAAAACAACATTTAATTAAAATGTCCAATTAATCTTTAATATTTGATTAATGTTTTTTTGTACGACAGAAATGCTACAGCCACTGTAATTTCTTGAATATGTGGACATCAAAACGTGTAAACTCGTGTTGGCATAGGTTTATAAATGATTTACCTTACTAATCTGATAAAATGGTGCACGCTGCATTCCCAGATGAACCTTATAATAAACCCAAACTCACAGTAATATGCAAAGATGGAGTTTGAGATGCTCCACACATGCAAACAATAGCAGTTTGTGCGGAGCAGCATTTCCTGTGAACGGAGCCGCTCTGAGATGCACGAACGTAACCTACACGCATGCTCGCATATATTAAACCTGCATCGCATTTATTTATTTAATTGAATTGTAGTGTTTGTGAATTCACAATAGTACTATGCTTTATTATGATTTTCAAAAGGGTTTAATATATAATGCAGCCTTAGAAATCTGTATAATAATGCATTTCATGGATTCTTGTCCGTGGAATGTGCCATTTCCGGTATTTTGCCGGTTACTCGACAATCGATTTTTTATAATCAAGTACTCGAATTGAATCGAAGAATCGTGACAGCCCTAAATACATTATTACATTTACAATTTTAACAAAATATTAAAACAATAATAATTTTCTTCTTGTCCGTTTCTCACCATGGGGAAGATGCCGAGTGAGTGGAATCGTCGCGGTGTACTTAGAGGCAGCGTTTTATTCCTGAAGTTCTTCAGTTCCTCCTGAGCTTCATGAAGCATCTCCATACATTCAGCATACTTATCCTCCAGCTCCCTCAGCTACAGACAGAAAGAAACAGATAAAGACTGAGATAAAGAGACTGATAGCAGGTGAAAACAGCAGTAAAATTCATTTAATCAGTCAGATCACAGTTTCAATTCAAATCACACAATTCAAAAGATAATGCACATCAATGTTATGGTTAATTGTTACATGGCGGCATTTTAGTTGAATTACAGTATGTGAATATGCTGGTGCGTTTGAGTGTGTGTGCACGTGTTACCTCTGCTGTTAGTGCTCTTTGGGCATCTTTAGCAGCTCCCAGGTGCTGGGTGAGCTCTTCATTTTCTAGTGCATACTGAAAAATAACAAACATCACACATGAATACACAGACAGAACTTTGCTTCCTATAACTGACAGCACAACAAACTAAACTAAATGAGAACCAAATAAAAAACTGTTGTGATTATGCTTCACTAATACATTTCTTATTAGCAATGAACATTGAACACAGCAGCATTAATTTTGGTTCTTATATCACACTAAAGAAAACTAGCCAAGCTAGTGAAATAAATAAATACAAAAAATTATTACCAACAATACTAATATTATTACTATTAAAACGTATCAGTAATAATAATAATAATAAATAGCAGGTGATGTATTCCTGTAACTGGCTATTTAGCAGGTTGTGTTAAATGGTTTTATCTTGCAAAGTTTTTAAGTATAGTTTCATATTTATAAGATTGTATTCTGTGTTATATTGTCCAATTCTGTGTTATATTGACCAATCTGAAACAAGCATTTCAGAGAGCCATGTATTCATCACATCTACTGGACAGTGAGGATAACTCACAGATTTGGCTTTTTTCTGCAGGTCCACGATCTGAGAGAGGAGGTGTGTGATTTCCTCTTGCTGCCGAGAGGCGTCCTCTGTTTTCTTAGCCAGCTCCTCCGCAATCGTAGAGATCTGTATGTTAGCATCTCCTAAGGGGGAAGAGGAAAAAAAACTTCGTCTTATATTCGGGTCAATACGGTAATTATAATCTCTCTAAAATGTATAGAAACATCATCCAGTGCAGGAATGCAAGACTGTGGATGATACTCATGTAATCATGAACTATTATGGTACACTGTTAGACCTACATCACAACACGTGAGACACCCTTTACACCAAAAAATAAATAAAAATCCTTCACTCTATTTTTTATTTTTAAATGACAGCTATGACCCATCCTCCCACTTCCCACGGCTTACCTCCTCCAGGAGACGTGTCACAGCATCTATATCATTATATGTCTTAGTCATCTGGCCCACTCGATCAGCACATAGAACTGTGGGAACAGAGGAATAAAAATGAAAATTGACATACTCAATGACAAACTCAAAATAAACAATTCTAAGTTACAGGTACACTGTGTTTGAAACACAAAAGTACCAGTATATAAAGTAATAATAATAGGTGTTTACATGCTCAGAACACATTTGGATATACTTGTGAAAAAGAAGTAAACTTGAACATACTTTTAAAAATATACTTATTATGAATATATAAAACATACTTATTATTAGGGCTGCACGATAAATCGCATGCGATGTTTAACGCGCATCTTATCAGTAAAGATTTACCGCTGATTGCAGAACCGGCTTTCTGACAAGATGCGCATTAAATATCGCATGCGATATATCGTGCAGCCCTACTTATTATGAAAATAATATACTTTAAATAAATATAACATTACTGAATGTTTTTTTTTGCATGTTTTCAGCAAATAAAAATAGATTCAATTTAAATTAAACGCAATTAGCTGAACTTCAGTTTGCTTTTGTAAGATGCGCATTAAATATCGCATGCGATATATCGTGCAGCCCTACTTATTATGAAAATAATATACTTTAAATAAATATAACATTACTGAATGTTTTTTTTTTGCATGTTTTCAGCAAATAAAAATAGATTCAATTTAAATTAAACGCAATTAGCTGAACTTCAGTTTGCTTTTGTGTGACCCACTTAAGTAGGACTTAAGTACATCTTTATCCCCTGGTTTCACAGACTTAAAGCCTAAGCTTAAGCCTAGTTTCAACTGAAAGAAACTTGTACTGATTGATCTTGAAATATGTCAGTGCCCTTGTTTTGTCTCAAGATGCACACCAGTAATGTTTTTTCTAAGGCATGTTTATAAAAATTACTTTAAAATCCTAATTGAACTACGGCCTAGTCCTGGCTTAAGCTAAGCCCCATCTGTGAAACCGGGCCTATATGTCAAAAAAAGTCATGAAAATACTCTCTGAAAGTACACTTAAATGGCCTTTTTTAATTTCATTAATATTATATCTGCAAAAACAGTTTTTTTTAAATATACTTTTAGAATTTGAATACATTTAATACATTCAATACAATTAAGTGCACTTCTTTTTTCACCAGGACTTTTGATTCTCTTTGCAGTGATTCCAAAATTTCAATTAATATAGACAATTATTATCAATAAATAATCAATATCAATTAAAACATTCCAAAGCCGAATTAATATAGACCTTATGCATAGGAGAAACAAGCACAAAGCCATCATTTATTTTATCACAATGGAGATAAAACACAACCTAGGGCCAGTGTTGGGGAAAGTTACTTTTAAAAGTAATGCATTACAATATTGCGTTACTCCATAAAAAAGTAACTAATTACGGTACTTAGTTACTTTTTATGGAAAGTAATGCGTTACGTTACTTTTGCATTACTTTTTAAATCTGGACAGGGCTTGCTTGTTTGTTTTTAAAATAAAAAAAGTTATATTTTTGGCAAATATAAAAGCCTTCTCACACCAAAAGTGAAATGAATAAGCCTCAGGCTGAAGGGAAAGTAAATTTACGTCCGTACAGCAGAATGCAGAAGAAGACATTCCAACACACTTCAGCAATAAAAAAAGACACACAAATGTTTGTCTAGAGTAATTTGGGCTTATTAGTATGGTTGAACTGGATCATCGAAGGTCAGAAGCAAAGACATTGGTTAATAGAATGGGAACAAATGCCCGAAATCGGAGGCAAATCGGTGCTCGTTCACGCGAGTGACAATCACGTAGTGTGAATTATCAAAGACGCGATCTGAGGGAATCGCCGACACGTCACAGACTCCCGCAAAATATTTGGCATACTAAATATCTGGAGCTGTTGGCGATTCACAATCACGCTGTGTGCAATGATTTCTGACTGAAAACTACATCGGTGATGACTTACAGTCAATGAGAGACCAAGATACAGGGCAGAGGGGAGGAGTTATAGACCAGAATATCAGTATTTTAATAGATATATGAACAATTATATCATACAGAAACAAGCACAAACATTTGCTTGACCAGCCACAACATCAGCATAACAGTTAATGCAAAATTATTTACCTCCAACTCTCTATGCAGAACACCCAATCCCTGTTCCCTGCATCTCCCTCCTGCATAATCAGTTTTTCTTTTTCTCCTTGTAGCTGGAAATTCAGTCTTGCTCGAGAACTCCGGTCTGACGCACGCGGGTTCTCGTGTTATTTCCTTATCACTTCTCGCGTGTGTTTTGTTGTGAAACGTAGTTTGTGGACCAGACAGAGCTGTCGGCGATTCTTCCTATTGTGAAGTCATGCAATGTGTAACCTCCTGTCGCCAATCCATCGTGCAATGTGAACACAGCAGCGACTGACTGCTACCTCAGATAGTCGTGCAGTGTGAAACCCACGGTGACCCGACGACTTTGAAAATCGTGCAGTGTGAACTCGGCATAACACAACCATTACCATCATCGAATTCTGTCATTATCAACAAGTCAGCATATTACAGCATATAAATAACTCAATGGATTTATTATAGTCACAACCGGCAGATCCTTCCCTGCCGACATGTTTGAAGCAAAGCATTTTTAGTACGATATAAGAAAATATTTTATTGCATGATAAAAAAAATATTAGCATGCAATACAAATGACCTGGTCCAAAGGTGAAATTACCTATTTTACAGAGCAATGAGCAATATAATTAATCATAAACTAAATATATGCATAATGGAAACTCCCATTTTTCATTACATTAACATGTTGCCCATTTTAAAGCTGCAGTGTGTGATTTCTGCACCACTATAATTACCAAACAAAATCGTCATTTCACTGGTTTGACAAACACATAGTGCCATCTCAAAATTCAGACCATTTTTGACTGGTCAGGATGCTCAAAAAAAAGAATGTTATGATAGTTTACACTTTTAAGGGAATCTATTTTTTATTTTCATTAGGACAACTAACACTACATTTACATTATTGCTGTACTGCTGCTGAGAAGGACACTAGAGAACACGATAATGCTTCCAACAATTCAAAAGCAGCACAAAAAAAACTCTTTGAGTTAAGTATGGTGTTAAAGAATCAAATGCAAAGCAGACATTTCCATCTGCGTCACATTCAGTACAGAGAGAGCAGAGACTCTACCCAGCCAGCACCTGAATCCAACACCCAGATATTGACCTGCAACACCCAGCAATAAACCACACAGAAACATTCCTGGAGCAAGACTCATTTAAACACTCATCAGCTCCATACTTTATTCTTCTCCTGAAACTATCAACTCAGGCAATAATGCAGAACATTTTCAGTGTTATTTGATCAAGGTTGAAAATATTTATTTAGGAGCAATAGTTTGACGCATGGTTTCATTATATTGTACTGTAGGTTAAACTTAGATCAGCAGATCTTGTTATGAACTGTGAGTCACTCTACAACAATGGCTGATAGGATTCGGATGAATAGTAAACCTAACAAATCCACCCAATGCATCTCAAAGTACAGCAATGGTATTGCTGTGTGCTATTATTCTCATTTAAGAACAATTATAGTTCCTGAGAACAAACCAAAGTCCTAAACAGATCAGCCTCCAATAGTGTTCAATAATTCAACCACCAAAATCAATAATAAAAATCATAATGTTAAAAACGCACAAACAAATTGCAGTCTCACTTGACAGAAGCTTTCCATACTAACTCCAAAAAATATAAAATAAAAAAAGATCACTGAAACGATCATTTAAATGTTTGGACAATTTGAACTAAATTAGTTTTCTTGTGATTTTAAAGACTATTAGATCTAAAGGCTTGAAGCTTAAATGCTTGAAATTACTTTTATTAAATATAAATAATAACACTTCACAAAAAAATATACACTACTGTTGAAAAGTTTGGGGAAGGCAAGATTTTTTTTTTCCCCCCAAAAGGTTATTTGAAAGAAGTCTCTTGTTTGATTAAAAAAACAAAAAAACAGTGAAACATTATTTAAATTTAAAGCAACTGTTAAACACATTTTAAAATTTAATTTATTTTTAATTGAAATCTTTTGTAACATTGTAAATGGCAATTTAATGCATCATTGCTAAAAAAAAAGTATTAATTTATTTAGGAAAAAAGTTTTAGAATTAATAAAAACCAGCTTTTTTAAATAGTTGGCTATTTTGATTAAAGAATAAATAATATAGGTAAATTAAATAAAAAAATAATATAGGGAATATAAATAATATTTTATATATTTATATATGTTTTAACATATTTAGACCATTCCTATTATTCAAAAATCACCAATGTAAAGAATGAGCAGGGGTGTTAATACTTTTGTTTGAAAGTGTATGTGGCATGCTGTTATGGAGTACAAATGTCATTTAAAAGAGACATCTAAAAAAAAACTCACTGAACAGAATATATACCACATACAGTATATACCCCAGATATTTCTCACCACGGGACATCACATTATGTACCTTTCATAGCTCAATGGCCATCACAAATAGATATAAATAATATTTTATATATTTATATATGTTTTAACATATTTAGACCATTCCTATTATTCAAAAATCACCAATGTAAAGAATGAGCAGGGGTGTTAATACTTTTGTTTGAAAGTGTATGTGGCATGCTGTTATGGAGTACAAATGTCATTTAAAAGAGACATCTAAAAAAAACTCACTGAACAGAATATATACCACATACAGTATATACCCCAGATATTTCTCACCACGGGACATCACATTATGTACCTTTCATAGCTCAATGGCCATCACAAATAAATTAACCTGCTTAGCAAGGTTTATTTACATGGGTAAACACTCATTAAATGCCAAGTTAGACTATTAACAGCTGCTGGTCTAAGTTGCCAGGACAGGGTGCTTCACACTCGATAACAAATTTTTCCGTCCACCAGCATGGGTACACATACACTTCAATGACCCTGGTACCATGACGCTCAAGACCAGACCAAACAACAAACTAAGAGCAACCGTACACAACAACCTGCCATCAGACCAGCTCCCACT